AGAGAGAGAGAGAGAGAGAGAGAGAGAGAGAGAGAGAGAGAGAGAGAGAGAAACATGGAACAAAGAGATGAAACTTTGTCCACTTAGCGTTTTGAAAGAAGATTGGCTATAATTCACCACGCAATTCATAACACACTCACTCAGTCAATCATTCACTCATTCACTCAGTCGAACCCATCCATTGGACCAGTATCAAAAATGTCTCAATTACTTTGTATTTGATAAATTAAGCAGACGAACGATTCGAATCGTCCATCGAGAGGAAACTTTTACAGAGATAAATTGGTGTATTCAAAGCAAAGAGAACGAGACCAAGAGCAAAGAGAGATAATAATGCTCAACAGATGAATATTGTACCACAAAAACCACTCCCTGTTATTCTGTCTCTCTCGTCATTTCATTCCTTCTCTCTAAAGAGAATCCAGAATCTTCTTCAGTCTCTGAGTTTTATTCCAGAATTTTTTTTTTCAGTGATAACTGCCATTGAATGAAAATCCTCGATATGCGTATGATATAAACAAAATTCTAAATGGAAACATATGTAGTCACATTTCAATCAGAACAAAATCGGAATTTGGTACTTACGCTGCATCTACGAAAGTCTGTCTTTTTGAAGTGAGCGATGGTAGGAATACGGCAATATTGATTGAAAGCCATAGTATGAATAGATGTGTCCCTTTCGGCAGGAGATCCATTGTTTGCATCATTATTTACTTGTTAATGTTTTCCTTTCCTTTTTGAAGTTTTAGTTTATATTTCGATTTTCGTGTGTCCTCTTTGTTAAATTTAGTTTGGTGGTTTTGGTTTAAGTATTAATTTAGTTATTTTTGTTTTGTTTGGTTTTATTTTAAATGTAATTGTTTTATACGCTCCTAAGTTTAATTTCGTTTTCGAATTAGATAAATAATTTGCTATTTGAGTAATTTTCAGTTAATGTTTGTTCAGCGTGGATTTGGTTGTTGTTGTTGTTGTTTTTGTTGTTGGCGTTGGCTTTGTTCCAGTATACAGCTACAATTCACTAATGTACAACAGTGTTATGTTGTTGCTGTTGTTTCGGTCGAAACTCGATTCGCATGTGAATGTAATGTTCGTGAATATCGTGGATACGTTTAGGGATGAATGTATCGAATCCTTTTACGCGGCCCCCTTTCCACGATTCGTCTTCTTCTCCTTCTTTGTCTTCGTCTTCTATGCTTTTTCTCTCCGTACTCGTCGTTCTCGTTACTTTTTATATTATTATTATTTTGCTTATACTTGTTGTTTGTTGATTTTTATTTCCGATATTTCCGTTATTTCCGCACGGTTGTGTGTGTATTTTTTTATTTCGAAAACGTTGGCTTAGAATGAATGTGGTACGTTCCGAGATGATGTATTCTTTAGAATGTAATGCGCTATCGTTTACATGTGATCGCGTGTATTTCCTTTTCTTCGAGTATTCGTTTTTTCTTCCTTTTCTGTTGTATTATTCTCTGTTTCTTCTTCTTCTTCTTCTACTTTTTATTACTACTTTTGTTATATGTATATATATATTTCAATAACAAATATATATACACATATATTTATCTTTATTTTTGTTGTTGCTCGCTCCTTCTTTGTCGTCAGTGTTTAAACACACTGTTCGGTATTCTGGTTGTTCAGCCTCCTGCAATTTGATTCCATTAGTCGGTGAAAAATACAAACGATGTATGAAACGTTTGGCAGCAATTGATTCTTCGCTACGTGTGTACGGCAATATTCGTGTAATGCGCAAATTGAATATTCGTTTGGAATTTTCTTCTTTGTTTTTGCATTTGCTGTTGCGGTGTGTCCTCTTTCTTTCTTTTCCTTTCTGCTTATTGCTGTTGTTGTTGTATTGTGATGTGGTGGTGTATCTGGCTCTCTCACACTCACTCTGTCTGTCTCTCAAACGGTATGAGTTGGTGTGTATGTGTGTGTGTGTGTGTGTGTGTCGCGCGCGTACCTCTCACTGCCTTTGCAACTATGCTACGATTTTTCACAGTATAATGTAGTAATATGGTATGGTATGTTCAGTTTGTATGCCTGTATAATGGACAAAATAGCTTAGCAATGTATATGCGTTGTCATCCCAATTTCATAAGAAACTGGCTCATCGTACCGGTTAATACGAATTTGTATATTAATATGTAAACCATATTAATCATTGGCGTGGCAACGGAATGTCGACATTTTTACTGCAAAATCTCTGTGTCTGGTTCAACATTTTCGGGGTAGAGCCGAGAGACCGAGAACACACACACACGCTGTATCTGAGAAGTACGCCGGGAGTTGGATGGTTGAAGGAGAGAGAGAACAACCGATTTTGACCGTGTCGTGTCGTGAGAAATGATGGCACCGTTGATTTATGTATGTATCCGATCGCTCTCGCCCAGTCGAGACTCACCGTTTGGATGCACCACCACACACTTTCTATATCTCTCTTTCTCTCTCTCTATCTCTCGGTTACTCACTCACTCACTCGTTCGTTCGCTTCGATGTTTCTATATGCGAATTGAATTTATACCCCAAAATATATTTATAATTTTTATTTTATTGCGTAACGGTATTGCGTGTGTATTCCAATTTTACAATTTCGATGCACTCTGCTTATCTTCTACCGGTCGATTTAAAAAAAAAAATACTTCGTATCAAATTAGCAACAAGCACCAAACAAATCTTCAGTAACAGCAATGGATTCACTTTGTTTCGCTTTTGTTTCACTGATTTCCAACGTTCGCTTCGGTTGGTCTTTTTTTGTATGCAGAGAGCTTTTTATTCGTGCTGATTCCACGGTCGTCGTCGTCGTCGTCGTCGTCGTCGTTGTCGTTGTCGTCGTCGAAAATTGTGTGTATATAGATTAGCGTGCCGTTTCACAAGTATTGAGTGAATGCGTATTCGTTGCGCGTCTAAGTCGCATATACACTCATTTGGTACAGGACACTTGTCCAATAAACACAATCACTGTATCGTGCAAACTCTATCGAGAACCATACTATACATAAATTTTCATTCTATTTTTATTTTATTTTCGATTCTTCTTTTTTTTATTCACAGTCTTTCTTTCCTGCTTGCTCGTCGTTTTCTCTTTCACTCCCTCTCTCTGTATCGCTTTCTCGTGCTGCATAAAAAGGTGTGTATTTGTATTTGATCCAGATTTGAAATTGTTCAACCTTTAAAGTCTGTCTTCGTATCGAATATCTTGTTGGTCTTTGCGGTTGTTGTTTATCATTATTTTTATAATTTCAATTTTCATTTTGTCTTTCTTTTTTCTTTTTTTTCTCTTCTTCTTCTTCTATTCTTCCTCTGTCCGTTCTCACTCTAGCGCTCTCTTCCTATTGGCTTGTAGTTTTTGCAATGCTTTTCATTTTTTTCGTTCTACGTCTGCTCCTGCTTTTTGACAAATTATTTCTTATATGGCTGGCGTACACTGTACAAATGCGATTTGCAACGAGTTCAATGACATCTGTAACACTTTGTGTTTATCGTTTTTTATTTTCTTTTTATACCTATAAATAAAATGAACGAAAATGAGAAATTCAAACAATGAAATGATAGCTTGTTTGGTTCCGGCTTGAAACGGGGGGGGGGGGGGGAAGGAGAGCATTGAGCTGAATTTTATATATATATATATATATGTATGTATGGATATATTAGCCCGATATATGCATATACATATAAATATATTGTGTATTGCTAGAGGCAGCGGGAGATATGAATTATTGAAAATGATTATGTGAGTGCTGATTCAAGCAATCGAATCCTTCGTGATTTTGTATCGTTGATCTTGCAGAATTAGCTAATCTAATTATGATATCAACAAGAACTGGATCACACTGATTTCATTTGGTTTTAATTTTTCTGGTTTAGTTTGGATATTTTGCACACAATGGATTAAAACTGAATTTGAAATTTTCCAATTTCGCTTTTTTTTGCTCTCTCGCTCTCTCTCTCTCTCTCTCTATTCGACGAGAGTTAAACTCTCTGTCTTTTTGTATGAGTACGTGTTTTGTTTAGTTTTCAAAATTGATTTAAATAATTTTTTGGCTCAAGTATTCCATGTACACTATTGTGGATCGTTTGGATTATTTTTGATTTTATAGGAAATTTTCTTCAATTTATGTTAATTCATTTGCTTATATTTCTTTCGTTTTTTTTTTTAATTAAAAAAATGTGAATTTATGGGTGCTTTCTCTTTCAAATGCTGAGCCTACAACTACGAACATCCGTACAGACCGATTTTTTTCTCAGACTAGCAGAAATACTGGGCGGGACACATAAAATACGAAAAAGCACAATTTTCTTTACGTTTGGCCAGAACGCTAAATTTCGATTCAGAGAAAAATGCGTTAGACGCATGCGCCACAACCCCTAAACCAAATATGTGTTCACACACGTACGATTCTCATATTGTTGACGTTGTGTGGTTGTCGTTTTTGAATCAGATATACACACAGTGAGAGACCGAAAAGCAATATTCATACACGAACAATCCAACTTTTACCGTAGCTATTATTCACGCTCTGTATATGTGTGTGGAGCCCGCTTTGCAAACACATTCAAACAGATGGAACACACGGCATTAAAGCGTCAATGTTCCTGCTCCTTAAACGGTTGCTTTTGCTGGCTGCTTTTTTCGCTTGGTCTCTTTTAGCTTAGAGCACACACACACACACACACACACCGACCAACGACTCCAAATCACAAATACTCGCAAAAAAGCTCAAACGAATAGACCGCGCGCAAGCAGCACCACCAACAACGGGTGAATATTCGTCAAGTCGTTGAAAGGAAAATACAAACAGCGAAGGAAGCTGGTTCTTTCTTAACATTCAGACAGTATGTGCCGTGTGTGCTTTTTTCCCTTTATATTTGCTTTTTCCTTTGTTGGTTTTGCTATTTTGCACGCGACAACACACAATACGGGTATACACTTGTAAATTGAGCCTGTTTCCACAAATATGCGTAGCTGCTGCTGCTTGGCTGTGTGTACTTTCTCTCTCTCTTTGTGCTGGCCAAACGTTCTTCGTCTCTCTTTCTATATATCTGTATTATTTGTCTGAAATATTTTGCGAAATTTTTCGACAGAGATTTTTGGGCGTGTGTTAGTGTGTGTTAGTTGGTGAAAGGAATCATATGCGTGTGTGTGTGTGTGTGTGCGGGCTTTGAAAAACACACGAAAAATCTTTGTGTCGCAAATGACGAAAACAGTAATAGCAATCATAAAACCAGCTATAGATCTTCACTTGGTTCGAATGCAGAAACTTTTTCTTGAAAACGATAATAACAACTAAATCGAACAACGCCTACAACACTCGTTCGGAAGGAATTTTCTGATTTTATTTCGCCATTTTTTCCCTCTTTTTCTTCTTTTACTTCTTCATCTCGAATGTGGTGGCGTATGCGTGAAATTCGCTCGGCCAATGCACAGGAATGGTTGTGTCTAGGCGGACGAAAATTCGCATATGAATCTTGTTTGCATTAAAGTGCTTTTCGTCGAGAAGAAGAATTGTTCTTCTTGATGGGGTGGCGAATAAGCGACCGAGCTATGAGCGAACATGATCTCTCTCTCTCTCTCGCTCTCTTTGTTGATTGAAAACAAGCAATGGATTTTACAAATTATACGATGACTCTTTCGCAATCTCATGTATGCATTAACCAAACGGCTTATCAGTAAGGAGCCGATACTAACTTTCAATATTTACGAAATTTTATTCGTTTTTCTTACGTAAATCGATGAGATGTGATGTGATTGCTGTTGTGTGAGAACCCAAAAACTACTAAAGGCCGAAAGAGATGATCATTGTAATTCAATAGCTGTTAACCAAGCGAGAGATGCATCATGCCGCACTCAAGCATGAGTTAGTATGTAACAATATAATTTTCGTCACCCAATGTTCACTGGATTCATGAAACTCTCTTTCCCTCTCCATGTGCATCTTTTAAGTGCTTGTATGAGATAGAGATAGATGGATCACTATATGAGAAGCTTTTGCACATGCACATATCGTTCAAAGCCTTCATCAAGCGTGAAATGTATAGAAGAGCGATTATCAGGGCACATATTGGCAGGTCTCTGTGTGTTGTCCTTTAGCAATATTTAGTGATGACGATAAAAACATTCGGATCATTTTAATGACGACTCCTACATGCAGAAAAGAGAACTATGCCACGGGATGGGAAAAATGGTTAGAAGAACAACAGAAATATCATGACGACGACGATTTGTGTGTGCTTATTCTAATCGAAACGGTTTAATATAAAGCTATTTGGGTGCGACCGATGCGACATTCTCTATGTAGCCAAATCCAATCGACGACATTCAACATCGACCGGTCGCTGTGCAAAATCATTCTGCCAACGCTAACACGTCGGTCGTTGATTATTGCACGTTCCATCCATACCAGATCAGCTTTCAGACCCAAATCCACCAAACACACAAAAGTGCGCGCGGCGGCAGTGGCGGTGAATGGAGACCGAATATATCCATACACTCTCATCGTCAATTACATTAGACAAGCACTCAACTCTCAACTCTCAGCACAGTTCATTGTTACCAGTGAACAATATTTTCTCTTTCTTTTTTTCTCCGGTTCGCTTTTGCTTTTACTTTTGTTGTGTGTATGTGTGTGTGGGTGAGTGAGTGTATGTACGGTTGCTAGCTGCCCTCTTTCCAACTTGCTCTCGGCATAAAATGTGAGCTGTGTAAAACAACGTCGAGCATTTTAAATTCGTTAAAGCGCTAGAGAGCGAACGATGTATGTATATACGATGAAACTTGGAACGACGAGTTACCAGTCGTTCATGTCTCAACTCATTCTCTCTTTTTCCGTTTGCCACTTGTCAAAAGACGAACAGAAGTTTTGCACTCATACGTGTGTTTGTATATATCATTATATGACCAACGTTCATATGCATATATATAATATTTCATTCGGGAGGGTAAAAATCACAACAAAAATATTCTACAGCTAGCTACATTTGAATCTTTTTCTGTTCATTTGGTGTGTCTGTGTATGTATGTATGTATGTGTAGCTCTAGCCCAAAGCCCAAAATGTACTCTGTACAGTCTACACAAATATATACGAGCGATTGTAACCGCAATCCTACACCCTGTTCGAGTGAAGCTTTGATTTTGCGTATGTGTCTGCAAGCAGAAATAGCAACAACAGCAATGGCAACCGCACCGAAAAGGCGAAAGCACCATTATGCAAGTGGAAAAAAGTAACATGGCAAGAAAAAAGAAATGGAAAGAGAGAGAGAGAAAGAGAGAGAGAGAGAGAAAACGAAATGAAGCATTTGCAACATAAACAGCAAACGATTCAATGACCAGCACCAGAGGCAGCAGCAGCAGCATCATCACCATCAACAAAGCATTCAGTTTCGGACGCAATCAATCTAACACAGAAATATCGTGCTATATAAACAACCATATATCGTTCAATATGCGTACAACCACATGGAAATCGACCTGTGTTAATGTAACCATTCTATCGTTTGCCTAAAAGATATATTAAATGTTTGGATTTTGGAAAGCAGAGGCGACAGCAGCAACAACAAAAACGACAACAGTAACAGCACCAGTAGCAGAAGCACAGACCATACACTCTCCGTGAATTATTGTGATTGTATACAGCGCAATCGCTGCGCCCGGGAAATAATATATAGCAGCATTGTGTACTGTATTGATTTGTGCGACCTTTTCAGTGTATACGTGCGAATGTGTTTTATAGTGTGCACATCTTGTTCTCACTCATTCTATCTTTTGCTCTCACGTTCACTCTTTCGGTGGCCACTATTCACCGTGCATGTGCAAGTGTATATGTGTATGCCGAGGAAAGCGCACAGGCGAGAGAGTACTCTCACCTGCACTTCTTTCACGGATCAAATGTGTATACACAAATATAAAGCTCATACTCATACATAAGCTCGTTCACGGCTTTACTCTCGTTTGGTTCTTCGTGTCGATGTAGCTGCTGCTTCCTTTTTCTCGGTGGTGTGTACACTGTACATTCTGTTATTGTGTGTTTTTTTATCGTTTTGCTCTTCTATCGCTTTCTGTGTGTTTGTTCTCTGTACACTCGCTGAACTCTCTGCGCTATGATTTTTCCATATAAATCAGGGATATAGCAGTAAAAGACTAAAAAGCATAACCATAAACAATGTGTAGCTAGCGTAAGGAGCAATGAATAACACAGTTTTTTTCCTCTTCTTCTTGTTGTTGTAAAATTCAGCTCTTTCTGTTTGTGCGAGAGCAAGCACATCTCTCAGCTCACTCGTTCGTTCGTTTGTTCGTGTGAGTTTTTGTTTGAGGATATCTCATTCTCGTGTTTTTTTTCTCTTCTTTCTCGTTGTCGGAGAGCTATAGTTTTTTTACTCGTCATCGTCTTGTTGGTGATGTTTTTGTTATTGCGCCAGTCCCATATCTCTGCAGATTTCACAGCCAAAATGATGCTTCAGCGCAGTCAAATAGTTTATACAAGTTTCATTTACGACCGTTGCTTTCACATTCGGGCAGCGCACGCTTTAAAGTCAACATTCCAAGGGGATTTTGTCTCTAATCCATGAACATCGATGCTGTTGTTGTCTTCGTTGCCGTTGCCACCGCCACTACTTCTGCTGCTGCTGCTTTATTCATGCGCTGAACAATGGATAGAAGCGGCTGTGCTCCAGCAATGACGTTATTTTGGTCACTGGATATTTTTACTCGCAAACTGTTATTGAGCTGAATGTCTATGACGTTATTACGATTGTGCCATTACTTACGTTTGAACAAGATTACGCAATTCGCTGTGCCAAAATGAATGCTCGGTTGGAAATGGGGAGCGCGAGGAAACGAGCAGAAGCAGCGGCAGCAGTAGTACCACCATGGAATAAGCTCGTTTCTGCTGCTACTGCTGGTGTTTTAAATCATCCACAACAACATAAAGCGCATCGCTCTGCACATACATACGAAAGAAGGGTGAATAGAACGGGCCGTGTGCCGTGCCATGCCATGCAATTTATATTTCCCAAGTATGTATAATGTATGGACAATGGATTTGTTGCTATTTGAACTCACTCTCGCCAGCATTCTCTCGCTCTCAATTTCTCTCTTCCCATTCTCGCTATAAGAAGAGCGTTAACTTTGCAGCAGTCCAGTGTGCGCGTATGGATATTTCTTTCTATTCACTCACACACAGAGAGATAGATAGAGATCGACTAAAATCAAATGAAAATGGGAAAAAAACCTAGAATGGCTCTTATTAAAGTGCGCATACATGCATAACAGCGTTTACATTATCAAAGGTGAAACATTATTATTTATTATATTCTCTTCTGTTATGTTGCATTCCATTCGGTTCGGTTTGGTTCCGCTTGGATCGGTTTCGATATTTTGCTGGATGAGCATTGAGTTGATTTGGTGTGGTGTGGTGTGTGAGCTTAGACTCTCTGGTTCGACTTCTATCTTTGTTTCATTTCTCTCCGCTCTATCTCTCTCTCTCTCTCTCTCTCTCTCTCTCTCTCTCTCTCTCTCTCACTTCTTTTCTTCTTTCGATGTTTCTTTCTTTATTTTTTTTGGCGTTTCCATACATATGATTTCCTTTACAGTGGGTCGGTTTTTGTGCGCATATGCCTGCGGTGATCTGAGAGAGACAGAGAGATCGGAATAGAAAGAGAGACAGAGAGGGGGAATGCGAGTGTGTTGGTCTCACATATGACAGCATAGTTTGCACAAAACCTGATTGTTTGAGTTGCTTGTTGACGCTGACTAAGCGTTCAAAGTGTAAATAATAAACGCTATGAACGGAATACACCGCCGACTAACAAATTTAATCGCACGCACATAAATGGGATTTTATGCAGCATGGTTATCAACAACGTGAGAGCTCAATGTTGTAGGCACGAGAAGGAGAGAAAGAGCTTGCGATCTGCTACCGCGCGCGCGTTTCACATACAAAAGCCGAATTGGATTTTCTGTTGGAATTGCGTGAGCAATTCATCAATGATGAAGCGATTTAAGGTAGCTGATTATTCCATCGCTTTCTGCAAAATCGACCGAAATTTATCTACAGTTTATTTTTATATGATTTTGCAAGAAAATTTTGAAATTTAGTTAAGCTTGTATGATGTGTGTGTGTGTGCGTGTGTGATTGAAAGAGAGAGAGAAAAACGTATGGATGAATAGCGGCAGCAGCCGCAGGAGAGAGAGTATATAATTGTACACAGAGCCTATGTCCATGAGATGTCTGGCATTTAATTCGTATGTTATTTGCTTGCCTTGTTTATCCGTCTATTTGGCCATCGTGCACGTCGTGCATCACGCTTCATACAAATTCTTATGCTTCGTTGTGATGCTATTTCTCTCTCTCTCTCTCTCTCTCTCTCTTCCACTCACTCCCTCGTAGCTACCTCCTACTCGCTCTCTCCCTCAAATGAATAAAATGTCAGAATTTTGGAATCATTTATCCCGAATCGTAAATTGAATGGGAAAAGGTAATTTTCACACGAGCAACTCCAACGGCATTCAATAGCATATTTTTCCGTGTTCAAACGCCATCCACATTTGGATTTGGGTTAATTTACTCGATTAAATCCGTTTCTTTTTTTTTCTCTGTTTTCATCTTCGACCATGTATGTGTGTGTGCGCGCTTGTTTTTCGAATTTGTAAAACGTAGCATACTAGAACGATGGTATTGTTTTATTGCAGTTTTTTCCCCGTGCTTTTATTAAATAGTCATATAGCAATAAATCAAAATGCTTAAGACATCGATCAAGAAATAACATGCAGCACATCACAGGAATAAGAACAAGAATGAAGAAGAAGAAAAAAATACCGTCGAAACTTTGCACGTTAAAATGTAAATACATGCAAAGCAATTTCATGAAAAATGTTCCCGAGCTGTACTGCATAGTAATGGAACCTATCGATTTATTTAGATCCATAAACCAAACACACGAAAAACCGAGACACAGAACGAGAGCAAGAGCGTGAGCGAAAGGGAGAGAGAGACTGCGATGGGAAATCGCGATTGAGCAAAACAAAAATCCAAGCACACACACACACACACACACACACACACACACTGTATGTGAGCTGTGACTGGAACGCGCGCGATCTCCGCCCGCCAGCTAAGATAATCGTTTTATTTTTCTTTTGAAACTTACGATAAAGTGCCAAAGAGTTTTTAGCGCGGAGAAATGACTCAAGTTCGACACCGATTTTGTACACATCGTGCGAATATTGGAACATGGAAGGAATACTGTAAAACTGTAACGGTTTCTCATGAGAAAATTCCAAATGATTTTTTTTCTTCATTTTAGTTTAACGAGGAAACGCACAGAGAAAAAAAAGACACACATACACACCAAACCAATGAGATCAACTGAAAAGTATCGAAAATCATGTAAACATGTCCATAACATTAATTGGCGTTCAATTAACAAAAAAATATCGAGTTTCATTTTATTTTTTCCTTTTTCCTCTCTCTCTCTCTCTCTCTCTCTGTCTCTCTCGCTCCATATATCGACTGTTATATATACGTGATAAATGCCACGTATTCAGGATAAAACGTTTGATGTGCAAGTAAACATGTTCATTTAGTTTTTCACACACATTTTTTTCCCGAATTGTAATTAAAATTGTGTTTCTATTTTTATTGGTTGTGTCATAATACACAGCACGAATTGGACGGAAATCATAAAAAACAACAGATAAAAGTGTCAATATAATGTGCACAATAAGCCAGCAACTAGGCCAGGGCAGAGTCAAGAAAAAAAAAAACAATTCAGCATCAACGAAAATTACAAAACGAGTCTATTACGTTGTTGAGAAACATGAGCAGCTATTAGCTCATAGCAATGGAAAGAACCAACTTCAGCGACACAAAAAAGTCAAACTGAATTTGATAAATGGTGCATAAGATTGCAAGGTATTTGATCACCTCAACAATGTCGACGACGCCGACCCTTCACTTAAAATATTCACTAATTTAATGTTCCCCTTCCTGTGTAATATATATATCCTCTCCGTTGCTGCTAAATATGGGCAAACATCTTCACATTTTCGTACTGGGTCGAACATTTTTTGGATGTTACGACGAGTGTGTAATGCCTGGAAGAAGTGGTTTGTGAGTGCTAACATCGCATGTAATAATAATAACGCATGCATTAAAACGAAATTTCGTTGAACAAATCTATTTACATGCAGTCTATCATTCTTCCCTCATATCTTCTTCACTCTTGTGTGTGTGTGTTTGTGTGTGTGGGTCTATTTTTTTCGTCTCCTTCTTCTTTTTTCTAGTCTTTTGTAACATGAACAAAAACATGTCGCAATATTATCATTTTATCATTTGATTAGGTTGTGCTCCTCCATATATCCATTTTATGAGTGGCTAACATTTCCCTCTTTGCTCGCTTGCTTGTTTCTTTCTTTCTGTTTTTATTTTCTTGCCGTATCTCGTTCGTTCCCTCTCTATCTTGCTCTTGCTCTTGCTCTCTTTTCGGTCGAACAATAGATGTATTGCCATTGAATGGGAGATGAGTGCATAGTATAAATGAAAATAGCAAAATATTTGAACAGTTGAAGGCTATGCGTATAACGACAAAAAAAGTACGAAGCAAAATTTTTATCGCTTTTCTCCATTTTCTCGCACCCGTCGCCGTTTTCACCGTCACTGCCGCCGCAACCCAGTACACATCAGTTCAGAGTGCGCATTGTTTGACTCGCATCGTCGCAATAAGATGAGAATATCGACAAGCACTGGTTACGCATTTGCTTCTTCGTTTGTTTTTTATTGCTACAGTAAAAACAAACCAAAGATTTTGAACACACGAGCAGCACTCATCTCTCTCTCTCTCTCTCTCTCTCTCTCTCTCTGTCACACGTTTTACATTTTGAATGTTTAGCTAATAAAAAAACGCACACTTTTGGATTACCACGACCATAAGCTTTGCAGTGAACACTGAACAAGCTTTAAGCACCCGCGCAACATCTGGACGACAATCGAACATTAAAAAAATAAAAGAAGTTACATCCATAAAACACTTGTCTTTAGGCTTACAGAGTTGAAACCACTCTTATATTTACAAATAGATAACCATTTTTGAATAAATTTCTTATGGTGTTTTGACTTCGGCCAAAACAAATGTTGACGAAATTTCAATCGAACAATATTTTTCAATCGAACATCAATATTTAAACAAAAATTGCAAGAAAAACGGGTAAAATTGTTCGAAAGATTTCAGATAACATGGCCATTATTCAAGAAATGTTGAGTAATTTGTTTCGATTCAATTACTTAAACATTTCATTTGAAATACTTACGGAAATACTTTCACTTTCAAATATTTGCTCAATTTTGGGCGACACTGTACTTTTAAAAGCAGTCAATAGATGGCGCTGACGCTTCAATTCACAATTCTCGTATAAATTACACCAAAAAATGAGAATATCGCATGAAACTCCTATTTGCACAATGAAGAACGCTTATTTCATGAGAAAAAAAAATTTGAATCGTATTCCAATCTTCATTGAATGTTAAAAAAAATATATTTAACAATAAAATATCGATATTCTCTTCTTGTAAAAACAATTCTTTTCAGCTGTATTACAAATCGTATGAAATCAAATTACATTTCATCTTTGCAACATTTAACATGATTTTTTCGTGTTTGTTTTCGATATGAAAAAAAAATATATTTATTCAATTTCCATGTAGGCATCCGAATTCGAGAGATGTACTTTTTCTTTGTTTGTATTTTCGGCCACTACATGATTTGGTCCAACGAGGCAATTTTTCAGAATGCAACCCTTTTTCACTACTGCTTTATCGCAAATCACACAATTCTCAATGACACACCTGGAAATATGATGGAAATCATTTTTTTTTTCGGTTAATTCAAATTGGACGAAATGATGTGGAAATACAGAGATGAATTAGATTTCATTTTAATAAATTCCTATTATTTGTTTTACTTCGAATATTTAAATTTACCCTTCTTCAATGATGACTCCATTCATTAGAACGCTATTTGAAATTCTTGTTTTCTGGTTGACGGTTGAATTTGTGCCCAAGACGCAATTTTTCAATGAGGTTTTTTCGGTAACTGTGGCATAATCGGCCACCGCACAGTTAGTCATTTGCGTTGATCGGATATTAGCCTGTGGAGACTCCAGAGGTGGTGCATTGTTCGCAAATAGCTGTGGCCACAAGTCGAAAATCTGAAATATCAAATGACAAATCATTATCATTTTGCTGATTATTCAAACCAAAAAAAATCCACCAAAATCAATTAAATGAGTTTCGTTCAAATGTTACCTTTTGGTTGATCGTACAGTAAGAAAGTGTTGTATTCACTCGAATGCCAAAGCGATTCTCTTGTGGTTTCAGTGCATAGCATCGAATTACATCATCACCGAATGGATTTCGATTGACCGACTCGTTGAATGAAGAGGTTTCCGTAATTTTTTGATCTAAATCATGCTGCTTTCGGTCTACATCATTTTGCAAAATGTGATGGAAGACATCATCCTGACTTATATTGACCACCGAAAATGGCTTTTCATTTTCGTGATTTTTTTGCGGTCGTGACATTTGCTTTTTAACAATTTTCGGCACCAATTCACCTTTCACCGAAAACACTTGAGTTTGCTACAAAAAGAGAAAATATCAAGTTGACAAAGATTCAATTCGTAAAATTGATGGAAGAAAAAAAATGAATGGCTAAATTGAAGGTAATATGATTGCAAAAAAAAAAAAATCGGTACAATTTGTCCAAGACTTACAGTCTTCAAATAGTCAATGACCCATTTGTTAATGATATAAATGTGAGAATCAATTAGACGGCTGTGCATTGTAATATGGTCGTAATGACGCAATAGATGGTATGACAAATTCAGTGTTTCTTCGTAGTCGCTAGCCGATGCAAGGAACGCCAGACGCTGTGTGCCCGCCTGAATACCAATCAAATCTCGATCTAATGCGAATGAAAAACAATTTAGATTATATCCACAAAGCACCAGAAGAGCTAGAAAGTATTTATTTTTCGTACCTTGTTTATGTTTAGCCTTCGGTCCGGGCACAATTGTGTCAGCGTCCAATCCACCTTTGAAGAGTTGTGTAACGATTGAAGCCTTATTTTGCCGAAAATGGTTCAACATTGTGAACAGATCAATGTTCGTTATCGTGTCACAGGATACAAGCACCAAATCGCATTTAATACTGAAAAGAATGAACATTCCACCATCATTTCCATTCATAGATCTGGCTAAAATTAAAATCCTTACCGATCCGAAATCGCCCGCAATGCTTCGGCCGTTCCATAATTTGATTCCGATGGCAGTGTAACGAAATCCAATTTTGCTTTGATTGGTGTACGCTCCAGGGCCTGCTGAATGTCAGATCGTTCCGATTCCAAAACCACAACAATAATCTCCTGAAAATCGTGCCGCTGCAGCATATGCAACGGATAGAAAATCATCGGAAACGGGCCAATGGGCAACAAACATTTGAGCCGTTCGCCAGTGAGCTCTTGAAAACGTGTTCCACGGCCACCAGCCAAAACGATCGCTTGAAATTCAGTTCTTGTCATTTTGATTATTTTTTTTCTGACCAATATGTTTTAACACGTTTTTTCCAATATAAAATTATGAAATAAAACTCAATAAAATTGCAACAACAACGACTTTTCTCGTTCTCTCTCTCTCTCTCTCTCTCCCTGCGTGTCTGTCTAACTCGCTTTTATTTTGCACTTTTGCTATACATTAACACGTCGAGTATTGTGAAGTGATTCTTCTACCGTACATATTGAAAGTGAAGTGACACAAACTGTCACCATCACGAAATGTATAGATAGATTTTGTTGATGTGCTACACACGCACACAGTGCAAACAACTATGTATGGAACTGTCAACAAGGTATATTTTCTATATACTTAAAAATGCGATGCTAAAGTACACAAAACAAACGTTAATATCATAATCGTATAAATTTTACTCGGCATCTAGCTTCTTTGCGGCCAATTTCAATTTCATACTGTCCATCCATGATAATTTGCTTAATTTTAAATGTCCATTCGTTCGAATGATGAGTTGATCATCGTTCGTGTCACGATTGCCGGTTTGTAGCTCATCGCCGCTACCGTCATCTTTTTGGCATTTTTCAAACTGCGTCAATGTGGTGTCGATATCAATTTGTGTTGCATTCACGTTGAGGCATGTATGCTGTTCGACAAATTCCGATATGTTGACATTAAATACGGTTGGACTCTGTGCCTCAATGCTGCTTTCACCATAGATTTCGGTCAACTGAAGATTCAGCGTTCCACCGTTGGTGGTTGCATTCAAAATGCCATGAAAACCAGTTACATCTAAATCGCCTCCATCCAGCAGATACAATTCAGATTTTTTGTGTACATTTTTCAAATGAAGACCACCTTTTTGTGTGATAAATTTGGAATTTTCCGCATAACACGAATTTGTCGATATGATTCCATTTTCACTGATTGCCGTTAATGAATCGCCCAGCACCTGATTCAAATGGATACTCTACAAAAATTGGAAAAAAAAAGTGTCAACGATTTTTGTGAAAAAAATCAAATTGAAGCAACAGAATGAAGAAAAAAATTGAGAGTGTTAACCTTTTGGCCATGGCTTCGAACGTCCATTTTCTTGGCTAGTGTCGTGCCATCGCATTGGATATGCCCATTTTGTGCCACCAAACTCAGGCTCACCGAATGGATATTTTTCGTCTTCACATCGCCATCGTTTGTCGTCACATTGATATCATCACTGTACATATTTTGGATGTTCACATCACGCTTGCTGGCCACTTTTAAATTCGATTTGATGGGCACTTCAATGAGACACTCAACAGCATTGGCCAATTCATCGGCATTCACTTGTGTGCCCAAGTCGTCAACCGTGTCAATAACAATATTTTGATCATCAATTTGTATGGCTGCATCGAAATTGGCTAGGAACGCTGTGACTTTTGATGTGATTTTGGTTGTTTCCTTTGGTTGCAGCGAAATTCTTAGTAGATTCCCATCTGGGCAGTCCAACACATCGTACGGTTTAATATTTAAATGATAGTTTGACGTGATCTTAATATTTGGAAATGGATACACTTGATGAACTATTGACCGTGATGCTGATGCGGCTGATGACTGCGACAAATGCCGTGGATGCCGTGCCATCGATGCGATCAAGTTACGGCCGATAATCGTCAACGGTAACCGAAATGATAACATCTTTGCACTATTTACTCTTCTCAGATGATCGAGAGCGCTGAGAGGAGATACACAATTATGATTTCGGGAGTGTGAATGATGTTTTATTCACTATTTTTTCAAGCTCTTATGTTTTGTCAAAGTGACAGCTCCATGACGAATACCACACGAAAACCACACAAATACGGACAAAAGTACGTGTATAGTACACACGGTGTGTACTTACCATTAAGTATGTTGAATGAACAAAACATAGTTTAGCTTGAGAATATCAGTTTGCCAACAAATAAATGAATTTTGAAACGATAATGAAAATGCCAATGAACGAATCATGACGAACAAGCGCAATGTTTGAAATTTTCAATTTAGAAATTTTTCTCAAAAAGAAAAGGCTTTTTGGAAAATCATCATCAAAAATAATTAATACGAAAGGCAGTGTGCTTGAAATTTATTTGCTGGTCTGTGCGGTGTGTTTGTGTGTTTGCATAGAACATTTCATTTGCACACAAAACATATCTAACTCACGAAAAAAGTCATACATATTTAGATCAAAACATGAACTTCATGTTTTTATTTATCTGTTCGATTTCATTTCCTCACCGAATTTCGTTTGTTTAATTAAAATAAGAAAATTTCAAATGTTCTTCTTCTGTTGTTCGTCTGACGGTGATAGATGAAAGGCGAGAGATTCGAAAGAATGGCGATCGATCACAAATTCCTCATGCAAATGATAGTTTTGAAAAATATTGAAACCTATTGGAAGAGATGCGTTGGGATTTTGAATGTATGATACGATGCATGAGCACAATTTGTGCGTTCAACACGAGCAAATCATACACACACGATGGTAGAGAGAGAGAGAGAGAGAGAGAGAGAGAGAGAGAGAGAGAGAGAGAGAGTGAGAGAGAGCTACAGGTGGGCGAATTCGCGAGTATATACTCTCATACTCACTCATTTCGAAAATTTGTATGTCTCGACATACTCTCATACTCATAGATACTCTTTGAGTATGAGAGTATATACTCAGAGTATATACTCTTTGATTTTGAGTATGTCTTGACCTACTCATTTTTCACCCAAAGGGTAACTCTACACCTACTCTTTTTCCTACTCTTTTTCTTACTCTTTTTCATACTCTTTTTCATACTGATTTGAGTATGTCTCGACATACTCATTTTCAATTTTTTTTTTCCTCAGAAAAAGTTATATATCCTTTATATATTTTTCTGAGGGAGGGAAAACGAGTGAGTAAGTGTAGAGTTACTCTTTCGCAAAAAAATGAGTATGTCGAGACATACTCATTTTCCGTTTGTATGGGAGTAGGAGTAGGAGTATGAATTATACTCTCTTACTCCGCCCACCTGTAGAGAGAGCACAGAACGGTGATAGTCAATGAATGTATGTCTGCTATGACGACGACGACAACGGTGAGTGTGCAAGATAATTTCGGTATATTCATTTGCGTTGGGTGTCGCTCTTTTTTGTTCTTGCATTGAACAGTCTTATAGTTCGCTTGCAAAACGTGTGTGCACAATTGATAAGTATCACGAATCGATGTCAATTTAAATTCTTTATAAGAAATTTTTGTGACGGGAACGTTCCACAAAAATTAATCACTTTGCACAGAACCAATGAAATAGGATTGATTGAATTGAATTTTTGGAGGAGAAAATTGATGCACGATTTCTCCCAAGAAACATATTCATGTAACGCAATTTAGTCATTTTTAACGTTAAAATATGTAACGTTTTTAGGCTTTTTTCCATCAAAATCGACTGAAATTTCAGTGTAAACCAACTGTATGAATATTCGGAACGAGAGAAATGGTACATGATGCATGTAATTATGGTTTTTAGTTGTGCATTGTATGAGTAATGATGACTTGGAGAAATGTGTCGTTTGCTTAGGCGAGCAATAACAAAACCATTGGAAGAACGTAATAAACCTTAGCTTACCTTTATCCCGAAATAAAACTGTATCTCGTTCAACTCAGAGCTTAGCAAACAAATGAGAAAAAAAAAATATCGGTCTAAGGGTTTTATTAAAACTGTTTGTGTTTTTTTTTATTTATTTATGAACAAAACACGAAATTATTATTAGTACAATGTTTTTGTTATTGTTGTTGTTGTTGTGTTATTTATGTTAGTTGATATTTGTCTTCATTATGTCATTGTTATCAATAGTCGGTTAATTTTCATGTTCAAAGCCATATATTTCACAATCGATTGTTGTTGTACATATAATGGAAAAAGACAACAATGCTCTAGGATCAATATATTAATATTTTATATATTGTCTACCTGGCCGCGCTGTATCAAAACAATATTCATTTTGTTTTTTTTTTTGTTTTCAAATACGTTCAGAATTCAGGAGTATTGAGGCAATGTGTAACACTTTCTAATGTGTTGTGATGTCAATATGGTTTGTACAATATCTCAGGCTCTATTTTATTTGTAATCTTTGCTTGTTCTGTGTGTGAGTGTATTTTTTTTTGTTGGTTCGCTACGAATATGTATGCATGGAAAATGAAATTTTTGAAAAGCCAAACATTCAAAACGTACATACACCGCGGAAATTTATTTACTGCATTTTCGGGGAATCAGTTAGGTTAACACGCGTTTTAGTACAAATAATTAATTTTATTTCATGTCAACATCAACAATTTTATTGAATTTATACCGGAAATAACTGCGCGTTGCTAACGTAAATAAACCGTTCAATTTGCATTGGTTACATTTGTGTGCTGATTCGCGGCATGAATTTGAATTTGAAAAACATGCACGCACACAATATGAAGTGGGTATACCCATTATAATGTGTTCAAATTGGTTCAATATGATTTTCCAAAGACTGAGTTGTTATGGTTGTTGGGATATTTTTAATGCGAAAATAACAGATTTGCTGTCTTTTCTTATTGATTACAGTATAAGAATAATTTGTTTTAATTTTCTTTTTTTAACTTCATCTAATGAAAATGTTCTTTTTCGGGGGAAGGGTGGGTGCATATTCGCCATATTCTAGCGTTTACAATAAGTTACGAAGTAATGACAGTGTGTTCTTGTTGTTATTTTAACGTGCATACAATGGTTGTGTATGGTGATTTATGAAAAATAATTTCCCATGTCTGATCTTTGGTTTTTGTTATCGATTATTTGGCTCATTTAATCATCGATTGAAGTAGTAAACAGGATCAACAACAATGTTTTAAGGTGCAAAAACTATACGTAATATTTAAATTTATTATCTTTTTTTTGTTGTTGCTGTTATGGTATTAACAATTAGGTCTTAAATTCTGCTGAATGTGTTTTATAACCTCCAAAAAAAAACGGACTGATTTTAATTAAAAATCTTTTTTATATGAATATTTTTTGCTAATTATCTGGGACATTTTAATAAAAATGTAATTACTGTTTGGAAATTGGGTTTCGTTTTATGTGTGAGTGTCCTTTTGTTGTTGTTGTTGTTGTTGATGATGACGGTTTGTGCAGAAAACTGATTGTATATAAGTGCTAAAATGCTTTGCAACAAATTGTTGCCAATAATGTTGGCGAGAGAATCACTTTGCATGCAGCTAACGATTGCATTGGTAAAGGGTTTTTGTAAATCAAACCGGGACAGTGCTTTTAATTTTATATGCACGGTAAATGTGCATGTTTTAAAAGTGCGAGATCATTTTTGCGTGATTATTGAGTGTGTATGTTTGTTGTTAATAATTGAATCATGTTCAATCATCAGCATTCGAACAGCGGACAAAAATGAATATCAACATTTTCCAAGTGAAAAATAAGATAAGCCTCACCGTCCATTCAGTTCAGTTGATTGATATATAACCATCATATGGCTGGGTACCAAATCAATTTCAGGAATAGAGAGAGAAAAAGAGAACGTTCTATTATAAACATTGATTTTGAACGCATTTCGTTGACTACAGAACAAATTCGATAGTTGGACTTTGCTACAATAAGGCGTTGTGACAAGAACTCTAATTTTATTTTTCAAATATTTTTTGTTTCTGTTCGGTTTGTTGTTTTTGTCATTAATATACATACATTTCGTTGAACGTTGCCATTTAAAATACAACATGCACCACATACGACTAGAATTTAATATAATTTAAACACCCATTTCTTCATGTGATTTAATTTTTTTCTTCTGTTTCTTCATGTTGTGGTTGTTTATTTTCCTTGGTTTTTGTTTTTGTCTAAATCTAGCTAAAGCGACAGAGAAAGAGTGTTGAGGATATTCTCTATGGTGTTGAACAAAATTTAGTTTTTGTGTGTGTTTGTTTGTGTGCACTCTATCCTTGTCAATATACACAAATAGAAATAGAATCCATAATAAAGCATATTTTCGTCTCAAATGAGAGATAACAATTAATTCTAGGCGGCTTTCTATTTGACGGGGGCGAATTCCGAACATAGAAAGAAAGCAAATTAAGAAATGAAACCAACAAAACTTTGATTTATCAGAACCGAAATCAAGCTCATAAATCAGAAGATTCGAAAACAAAAACAAAAATAAAACAGCATTTTTTTCTTCTTCAAAAAACATAGACAACAAACAGAAATCGCACAGGCGACTCAATGACTTCAATCTTGTTATATTTTTCAATGTGCCACTAATGACCAACCCATCTGCTTTTCAGTTGACGCTTCTTCAATGCAAAAATACCGATACTTTTTTCACTCAAACTTTTTCCGCTCTGATATTATGCAAATCTGATTTTTTTTTTCCTGTATTCGACAATTGATACAGTGAGTCATGTGCATTTTCAACCAACACACTGATTTTTCGAAGCATTACTACGACCATTTTGCGTTTCGTTTGTTGTTTGTTTCACTATATTGTTAAAAGCACATAAGAATTTACGCGTCTGTTTGTTCACTTTTGCATTTGTATGTTTAGTTTAAATTTATATGCATATTTTGTTTTTTCTTATTATTTGTATGTATATGTTGATACAACGCTCTCTTGATCACTTCCAAATTTCAGTTGAATGCCAAATGATCAGTTAAAATGACAAAAATTCAATGAATAAATGATTTTGAATCCAAAAATTTTGATATGCCTTGTTGGCGAAGTGTTGAAAAATTTCAATTTCAGGTGAAGATAAGTTCCAATTTTCGTTCTTATTTGATCATTTTATTTCATATAAATCCCAACAAGAAGAAAATTTATGGTTGCAACCTCATGAGGTATGTTATTTTATACATGCGTGGTGTGAATATGATTTGTCACTTTCGCATTGAAAATTCGCAAGTCAAAAAGACTTGTTTGCCGAATGGTTTGCAGAAAGAAAAGCGCTGACCGTAATTTGAAAGTGACAAAAAGAGCGTTTTCATTCAATGTAAAAATGTGTGTTGCTCGAGTGTTACATGAACCAAAATGAAGCTGGTTGCACATGTTCCACGGATTTCAAAGAAGTATTTTACAACGAACAACATTTGAATGTAGTTCCACAAAGGATGGGCAGCAATTTATTTATATTACGCAATATTTCACTTTAAAAATAATGTATTTGTTGTTGTTGTTTTTGTTTTTGTCACACATACATGGATAATATTTCAAATTATGGAATTTTTTCTAACAAAGATGAGCGAATATATGATTCATGCATGCTGGACAAATGGAAGGGAAGTCGAAATGAAAAATTGGTTGTACTAAGATTAAAACCAAAGAAGAAACGATAAAATACAACAGGATCCTTGTGTATGTGATCTAGCCACACACATTGATATTTGTGTCATTTGAAATGTTCAAGTTGAAAATGCAAGTACGTTCATCCAAATCGATAGGTATGTTTTCGAATTGTTGCACCCAACGAACAAACGGATGACGTGATCACGGCGTGCGGCTGCCCAAAATGTAAAATTCTACGGCTTTTGATGTGAGGGGGAAGGAAAATTCTTATTACGATTAGTTATAAAACTTACATTTATGCTTCAAAGTCGATAAATTTTATTTTAATTTTTTTTTCTGTTGCCATAACATTTATAATAATAATAATAATAATGATGATAATAATCTTAATTATGTTTTTAGAGGTGCTAAGTCTCAGTTATCAACAACAACTTCTAAGTTCAAGTGTGATTTTTGTTTGGTTTATGTTTCATATAGTATTTTTATTTTTGGTTGTATAAAATAACGACATTAGATGTGCAATATGATTACTTATATGAAAATGTGAGTGTCTTTGTGTGTGTGTAGTTTTTGTTTATCATAGAGCTCTAGTCGCAATAGTTTTTTTTTTGGTATCCATCATATGGGTTGGTTTTTTTCTCTCTTTCTTGCATGGTGAACATTAACAGCAATGTTGTAAATTTCATTTATTTTATTTATAATTAATTAATTTGTTTTTTCTTTTGCTATGTCTAAAAGTACATACATCTGTCGCATCACATAGTACATCACAAAATACAATGCATTCAATGTCTAAAATATGCTTTAAATAGGATGATAAATCGAATCAAAAAGGAGATCTGAATAGTTTTTGTTTTGTTGGTTGGTTTTTAAAATAGAAGAAATGGTGGTCCATATCAACACAATAATCATAGAATTGTTTTTTTTTTTTAATTTTTTTTTTCAAGTTTTTTCTTTCTTTTTCGTTTGCATTCATTTCTCCGTCCACAATTCGTTTATTCTCTAGCCAAAACAAGAAAACTTACAGGGGAAAGAGCAGTGGTCGGGCGGTACATTTGAGTCGTAGTTTACTGTCATCTTCGTAGCCAAAGCGATATAACGGTGAGATTTTCAAGCCCGTTTTCTCTGGAATGATTTTGAAGTGTGCCTGATCGACGGACGCAGTGGGCGGCATAATCCAGTTACGTTTCTGTGTGGTAAAACAGGATGGTGTTATGGTTAACGGTCGTTTCATCGATGTCAGAAAATCATTATATGGTGCACCTAATGGTCTCACTGTGCTCGGTACGTTCATGCTTTTCGTAATGCCACATGCTTTTTGACTTGCCGCACGGCAACTCACCGGCGAATACTTTCGTGGTTTATAAATCGAAAAGATATTGTTGATTAAACTAATCGCTCCATTACTTTCTTGGCTATTAATATTTGCGTTACCATCGTCCAGCGAATCAACATTATTATTATTGTTATTGTTGTTGTTGATTTTATTATCGTCCGAATGCATATTGTTGATTTGATGATGACCTTCATTTATTGTTCTATTTCCGTTGGGACTAATGACATTTTGATTATTATTATTATTAATGTTGCTGCTGATGGTTGGATAAAATTCGGATGTCGACGACAAACAGTTATCATAGTATCGTGCACGAGCACTACGATTCGAGAGCAGATATTCATTATCCTGTGATGATTGATGTTGATGGTGGTGGTGGTAACGGGAACGATCGTGCCTGGGCGATGTCAAACTGTTGAAATTGATGTCTTCATCCTCGTCACTTTGGCTATTGTTGTCAAAGTCAACATCGTTTATATCATTATCGGTATCGTCAATGATGTCCATGTTGCTCTTCCGATACTTTGAATAATTGTCGACATTAATATTTTTCTCCTTGTACAACGGATGACTACTGTTCTTGGCTAACAACATACTTTTCGTTGCGTTGTTATTGTTACGATAGTCCAAATCGTATTGATTGACAAAATCAAAATTAAAATCGTACAAATCATCAATGGTCGAATCGGAGGATGTGTCATCGTCCCAATGGCTGGGTGGCTGTACTTCCAGCATACTTTTCGATCGGATACTATGGCGCGTGGTTTGATGATCTCGATTAGTTGCATGCCCCAAACTCATGTCCATGCAATTTTTATCACGACCCATATAGCAAGACCGTTCACTATACGGATCCATATCACTGGCATACATCTCATTCGAATGATAACTCTGCCGCCGGCTCACCGAACCCGGATCGTCGAAGCTATTCCGTGCCGAATATAAATTGATATTCGGCTTATTTTGATGAATTATCAAATATTCCTCTTCGAACGGGTGATGACTGTCCAAATCATGATGATGGCGTTTCGGTGCCACATCATACGACGGTATATTGCTAAAATCTTCCAGATAATTGCCATTGATTTCATTAATATTTTGCACTTTGTAGAGGGATGAGCTTCGATTTCGATTGTGCCAAATATTTCGTATGTAATTGGCATTTGTGGTCGCTTGTACGTCATGAATATCGACATTTGGTTTTTTATAATAATTTCGATCACGTTCGATTTGATAGACTTCGGGATTTTTCATGTAACAATCGACGTCTAGGTGATTATGTGAGTTTGCGTACAGTTCATCTTTATCGATGCTCGGCTGTCGATCATTTTCCCAACAATAAAACTTTCGCAGGCCACTTAGATTATTCCGGCTATTATTTTGACGACGCACTTCCAAGAAGCTTTCCTCCTCCACCGTACTGTACATCGTTCGAAAATTGCTAACACCTCTACTGCCGCCCGTCCCTGTAAACGAACTGGATTTTGGCATTAATACTGGCTTCGGTCGCTCATCGTATCCACTTCCGAAACAACAACTTCGCGATTTTGGATAACCATAGCCCGTATCGATATGTGGCTTCTTTCGATGAAACGATGTTTCGCGATCATAGTCATTTGGGCCGTATTGATCGTCGTTGGCGAAAAAGTCATCCGATTCCAAATCGATTGAATGATTTGAATAAATATTCTCCGTATACCATGATGGATGCAACGCTTCATGTTTTGGATATCGTTTCAATTTGTCCGTGCGTTGGCTCCAATACATTTGCCCATCAATATTACAACTCGTTTGCATGCGTCGTTCAACGTTAATCTTATGCTGCTTCATTTCGGCCAATTTTTTTTCACGAAACTCTTCCCATTTGTCGGCACTTTTCGATTTTGTGCTCGCTACCGAGGTGGTCGTCGTTTTTGTCCTTTCAATCGTTTTGGCCGTGGTCGTTTTTGTCATCGCTGCTGTTGGCTTTGCGCTACTGGTTTTACCGCCCGTTTTCTTCAATTTCGCTTGATTAACGATATCACAAAAACCGGTCAATTTTGTTAATTTGGTCGGTTGTGCTCCTCCCCGTTGTCGTCCCATTTTCGCCTGAGAATTAACCACTTTTTGCGTTTTCGTAACATTCAAATTGATTCTTGGTTTCGTTGATTCGGCTTTGACGTTGGCAACGGCTCGTTTACGATTCGGCTGTCACACCTCTTGTAGATATTTCACCGGACAAATGCCTTGCCGGTTGTCAACCGATCGAACCATTACCGATCCACACACTTCGTCACCGCACTGGAAAACGGGTACACCATGGAGAAGGAGAAAAAGGACGAAAGAATAAAATCAATCGTGTAAATGCTGTGGTTAAATATTAAGAAATGTTGTTCATTTCATTTTACCTGAACGACAATTTGATCTCGGAGCAATGTCATGGTTCCGTTCTTATCACCGCTGTCGGAAATTTGAAGATTTTGCAGTACTTGCAATGGCCTTTCGCCGGCTTGCAATCGCGCCACATATTTCGATGGAAAATAACCGACCCGACCCAAGCACTTGCCACGCCACCAATCCGGATCCGAATGATCAATAACTGTCACTTTGAATCCAGCCGTCAAATCCAATTCATCGGGGTGTCGTGCTTTGAAGTTGTATAATACTACATATAAATTGGTCGGTAAAAGGCGATGAGCTTTCTGCAATGGGACAAAACAAACAGACGACAAATTGGATGAATGAATGATGACAGGTTTGAATTTGGAATTTGTGTGTGCGTGTGCAAATTCATTGAGTATGAGGTAGACCGCAACATTTACCAGATTTTGTCTGCCCGGCGACGAGCATGGTGATGTGCTTGCTGACGATAAACTTTTATCACCTACTTCATCAGGTAACTCAACAGAAGCCGTGCGTAGATTACGGTTATAGCCAAGTCTGCGTGCTGTTGATGGACTCAGTGGAGCTAAAAATAGATAAATTTCCACGAATTCAAAACGAATGACAGAAATAGAAGATGGAAAAGACAAAGGCGACGAACAAAAAAAACAATGAAACGCAAACCGCTTGTAATGTCTAGACACAAAAAAGTGTTGCTTACAGTGTAATCGGCTATTATTTGACGGTGGTGTATTGTGGTCGAGTAAACCAGCTGAACCTCCCTGTATGTTAAAATGAACTGGCCCAGATGGTGGATAACGTCGCTTAATGTGACCATGTAGCTCAGTCGATTCGGGCGAATCCAAACTCAACGATTTCATACGCAAATTCAATTTTTGACGACGTGGCGAATGTGGGGCTGTTTTCAGAGAGATAAAATTTATTGTATAAATTTCACTGAACCATTATTCATCTATACTTTTAAGGAGAAAAAATTGAAGAAGAAAAAAATTCCAATATGGACTATATATGTATATACAGAAAATGGTCGAGCATGCATGACCTAATAAATACTAATTGAAAGGTGAACGGAACAAAAACAATTTTCAAGGAAGGAAAAAAAATTTGAAATTCCGTACGAAAACTTTCAAGATTTTCTACACAAAACTTGTCTGATCTGTTCAATTGTTCGCTCACACATTTGGGAAATGTTTAAACCATTTTGGTTGGCGAGAGTTGCCTCAAGAGAGGCCTTCAGCCTTTTACCAAATGTACGAAACAATTGTGCAGACGTATCGATTTTGTATCCATATTTATATACATACCGAGCAATAAATAAACACAAAAAAGTGCTTCCACTTTGGAATTGTTGAAGTGAGATAAAGTGATTGAGGTATTTGGTTCAATTATGGGTGTGAAATAAAATACCAGTGGAGTTGTTGTTTTTTTGTGTGTGCATTGTGCATATTATCTTATGATCTCTTCAATTTCAATTCGGTTTGTTTGTTTATTTTTTTTTGTTACACATGTCTCTTATCACAGATTTTGGGCGGGGAAACATTCAATACATTACATTATTTTGTGCTTCCATGTGGGCAAAGAAAGCGATTCAATTCATTTCATTTCTTTCTTTTGCTCTTTGGTCGCCAATTTTAACTCCTATCATAAGGTAACAAACTATATTTCTTAAGCTCAAAACCAAGAAACAATTACATTGGGGATGCTGTGCGCTTTTCTTTTTTCTCTCCATCTTCTCGTTCGGCTTTACCTGCATTCTTTCTTTTAAATATTTATACTATTCGAGATTAAAATTTAGTTCTATAAGACTATAAATTCGATTCGATTCTTGATCAACTTTTTTTTTCGTCTACACATTTATCGGATCTAATTCGATTTCGGATGTATGGGGAATTGTTGAATATAGCTTTTACATAGTTCTTCTGACTCGCTGATTTCTGACTGCAAGCCAAATTGGCACATTGACGTTTTTTTTTATTTTATTCGTTATTTCCTGAAGAAAGAAAAACGAAGAGGAAGACGTGATGAATTAGATTTGTTTTTGTTTCTGGATGAACGAATCTCTTTTTGTCTTCGATGAGTGTGGCTTTTGGTTGGAATCGTTGATATATTCTAAATATTCGTCGGAAATGAGGCATAATGGCTGACCGAAGGGTCGTTGGCGTTGTGTGTCGTCGTCTGAAATAGAACAGGCTTATTTAAATGAATATTCCACTTGTCAGTGCAGCATTGATTTCTAGTCAACGATTTGAACGGCGATTGCAATGAAGCGTTAGTACACAATTTGTCGGAAGAATTAGAAAAGCCGATGCAGTTTATTGTGTTAGTTTCTTAATCGATGGCTGTTAAATTCTCACTCAGGCTGATACGATCCATGACTTTAAATGAGCTTTTATGATTCGCTGATGTGTCGAAAAAAAGAGCATCACATGTATGAGACTGATCGATCAATGTACCACACCACACTTCCACTAACTAACAATCTCCAACTAACACAGACACGCGTATCACTATAGCTCGCTATGTGTTTCAGCAAACAGTGTCCAGGTAACGTATTATTTTTTTTGTTTGATCATTCCTGTATATTTATCTTGCTGATCATAGACTTTAGCTTCGAATTGGTGAAAATCGTGTCTGGTCGATTTGTTTCGATTATTCCATTTATTTCATTACAATTCAGTTTATCTCACGTCAGCATGCACAAAAAAAAGCGTTTAAAAATGCGAACAAAAATCGGAGTGAAGCGAGAAAATAAAGTGCTCGAAAAAGGAGTTGAACGATGCGAAATGTGAATATGATGCTTTACAATAAAAAGAAAAGACAAGATCAAAAAATGTGTGCGCCCATTTTCTAGACTAGAGGAACGGAATCGGCATTGCTAAAGTGCGTTCACCTGCTAGTTGGTATTTCGGTATTCGAAAAAAAAAAACACATACATTCAACATTCATCGATACATAAATGTATTTCTGTTTAACGATTTCTGACCGCCAAGCTTCGGCCGGCAAAACATAATAACTTGAAGGCTTTACACTTAAAATCATTTATGCTTTTCGGTCAAATGCGCCTAGCCATCGTGTCGACCATCAAACAGAAATTATATATGGGTATGGGTTTACACCAGACAAACACATTGACGGTTTTACGCAAACAAACACCACACACAAAATTGAGAAATTTTGTTTATTTTTGTTTTGTTTTGTCGATTTAAAAAAAAGAAAGTGTGTTAGAAAAAAAACCATCATCAGCACCTGAACTCGATACATCTAATAATGGAGCTACGGCTAATTTGTTCGATCGTTCATTTGTACCATGAGTTCTCGTAAATATAGATCCTCCAATCGATGGTACGGTTGGTACGCGTTCTGGATAATCTGGTTCGGTAACAATCGGTATATCTGGCATAATGGCGCCGCCGCCACCGCTGCTAGCGGTGTTTGCATTTGATTGTTGAGCTGCAACTGCAACCGTACAGTTAAAATCTTCAGATCAGATATCATATGATCATGGCTATACGGGATGTCAGTGTTTGGGTGTGGATGTGGTTGTAGTTGTGTATCTGTTCGTGTCATCCGATTGACAGTGGTGTGTGTTATTGCATGTTCTGCACACTCAGGCGATTAGCTTCAACAGTCTCTTATCGAGCGATTAAAGGTAAATGCCTGCGTTACAGTAACACGAAACATTCTCTCAACCAAGTCAATACAGATTACGCACGATGTGGACACAAGCCATGCATCATTTCATGTGATGTCTGATCTGAAGGTCGTCAACTCACCCGAAATGGCATTGCCACTACCCGACGCGATCGACACGGCATTTGTATTCGTCTTATCACCAGATAATTCCCCAGCTTGTTTCAGTACACGATAGATTTGGTCTATGTCGTTTGGTTCTGATTAGAAATTGCATATTGTTTTTCCGGGTGTTTGTTTGTTAATAGCATGAAACAGTTAAATGAGGTCGAGTTTTTTTGATATAGATAAATGGAATGGAATGATAGAATATAAAATGTGTTGATATGATTTTGATTTAATTTTTGTTTTCTGTTCTGGTTTTTTTTTGGCTTTACTTAATTTCAAAATTAAATGTTTTTTTTTTCGTTTGGCTTTGTGTGCTTTGTCGTTGTTTTACCAAACTGTGTTATTGGTTATTCAAATGCAACGAAACAAAGAACTGGCATTTTTTTTATATCATCTCGCTTGTTTCATACAATTGAAATTGGCCCCATTGGCAAAATCAAATAAAACTGTGACATTCAATTTTTGCTGCGTGACATCGCAGTATCCTTTTGTGAAGAGTCCATTGAACATGAACACATAATGTGTGCGTTGTCAACGTTTGATTGGAATTGGCCGACAAAGGGGACCACACGAGATGAGCAAATCAATTTTTTTTTATTATGTATAGACAAGAGTGAAGTTTATTAATGAGCAATGAACACGGTAAAAAAAAACGGCTTTTTTACTTTTCAAATGTCTATAGACAGGTTTTCCACGAAAAAAAAAATTAAAGTTAGATTTAAAAATTAGCAGACAACTGAAAAATGTCGAACCGAAAAAATGAGAACAAGAAAACAAAACCAAAACAGGAAAAGATATAATGTTAACGTGAAAACGCTTTTAGTATATACGGCTCTTGACAAATGTGTGTGTTTGTGTATGCAAAATACGATTAGGCCAATAAGACAATTAGGTAATTTACTTGATTTTGTGTGCGAACACACTCTTTCACTCTTCCATTCTCTGACACAATCGCTCCGTCTATCTTACGCTCACACACAAACACACCATGGCTCTGTCTCTCATCAAAATCGATTATTTTAATGTTGATTGTTTTCTACTTACTGTCATCGATGTCGACACGATTTGTCACGATTTCTGATGTGCTTTTTTGTCGTCGCAACAGCTTTTGTTTTGCTTGGCATTTGGGTAATTGAGCGGCACAATCGACATGTACGTTCGATTTGCAGTTTCGACATCGAAGCCCCTGTCGTGTGTGACCTGTGTGTTGGGATAAAATTAGTTTGGATTGGGAGTTAAATCGTTTGTAAAATATTGATGATGTGTTAACTCTCTCTCTCTCTCTCTCTCTCTCTCTCTCTCTCTCTCTCTCTCTCTCTCTCTCTCTCTCTCTCTCTGTGTGTGTGTGTGTGTGTGTGTGTGTGTGTGTGTGTGTCTGATGTGAACGCCTGACACGATATGGAGACTAAAATGCAAAACTATGCAGTTGCCTAAGCAAATACAAACATATATTCTCACATAAAACGAACAAACCCCATATGCGATAGTGAGACCTTCGCATTTCTGGCTATGGATATTATTCATTTCGTTTTTGGCATTAATACAAAAATAAATACGAAGAAAAGCGAAAACTTTACGGATATAAAGCCCATAAATATTTAATACGAGAAATGATATTGGATTGAATTGCATTACGTATTGTGTGAGCTAAAACACTGTTGTTTTCATCCTCCTCCTCATCGCATGGGCAAAAGTAAGCCGACCGACTAAAATAAATATGCTTGAATTTCGTTCGGCCGGATGTATGGTAATAATCTTCGACCATTCATCCTATGCATAAATTTGCTTTATATCACACTCCTTGGAGAGTGGCCATATCGCCACATTGTCTTATGTTTCGGTGTGTGACACGTGCAAAACCAGTTTTTCCAACCAGCCATTGGACACTCGGAACAACAACGACATTTGCGAATGACCGATCCATTTCAATCGTTACATTTGAAATTGAATTTATGTACGTTTTCCGTTGATTTTCGCCCTTAATCTTATCGCCTGTTCATTTCCATTTATCCAAAGAGGTCTTTTTTTTACTTTGCCTTCGGCCTAAAGAATCAGACACTTTCATTTTTGGTTTTCCTCCTCACAACTAACATATGGCTGAGTGGCCGAAGTCAGAAGTGCTGGGTATGACATTCGAAATGCGCGCCCGCATCGAATTTATCGAAGAAAGAAAAACTGTATGTGAGTTTGTTTGTGCGGCGGATAGAGAAAGAATAACTGATAATTGGCTGATTAAATTGATTTTGACCAGCAAAAAGAAAAACACAAACATAACGAATCGATTACGAAATGGGTCGATGGCTGAACTTTCAACCGAATCACCGCGGTAATCCGTTTCTATTTCTGAATCAACGTTGCTATACGTTGCCTCTTTGATAAATTAGTGCTCGAGAACATAGAGAAAACTGAATTAGTGAATCCTGCAAATTCTATTGATGAAAAGTAAAAGTACCAATAGATTGCATTATTGAACCCTGACAGTCTATTAGAGAAACATGTTTCTACCAATGGAATTTTTTATTTGTATTGGTAAATTCAATACAATAGACAGCATTAGTAAATTTGGCACTTGTACTGAAATAACCAATACAAATGAAATATTCTATTGGTAAAATGACATTTATTTCACTTGTTTATTGGCAATTCTCTTGTGCATTCGTTTCGTTTTATTTCTTTTTCAAAAAATTTACTTCGTTTTATCTTTCAATATCGTATTTTTTTCTCTTCAATGCTTCCATTGTATGCTCATAGTTTTTCGGTGAAACGGCCCAATTTTTATCATTCTTTTAGTGATTGCTAACCTTCATAACTCTGATTTTAACTTTTTCAATGTTATTTGTGTTACTTTGGATACATGTAATCCAATTCAATGAATTGAAAAATTGATTTTGGGACTCTTTTGAAAGTGTAATCGCAAAGTTCATTCATTGATTCTTGATTTTGCTATGGATGTTCATCGCACGAATACAATTCACAAAATCAACACGCACATCTGCGAACAGATTCGAGCCTTTCTCAAAACGGATCAGATGGCTTCAAAGTGTTCATGTGTTGTTTCATGAGGAAACTTTTTTCCATTGCAATTCGTTATCAATGGAAATCGAAATGTATATGAATCCCGAGAGGCTACTCTCGATTCCGTAGAAAAAGAAGAAACACATTTGTCCGCAAAAAAAACTTGAAAAATGTTTAAATCTATTGATAACAGTTGACCGGAAACCTGTTCACAATCATATGCGTCATGTGCGAGCAGGAAATGGAAATAACATTTTTTTTGTCTCCCTTCAAATATGTTTACCTCTCAAAACCTGTGAACAAACGTCGCACGGTGTAATCTTCTTGTATGTGTATTCCTGTAAGTTGTGATTTTCACCATCGAAAACTCGTCGCCCGTTGCTTGACTGATCTGCATTTTTCCTGCAAATCAAGAAGAAGAAGAAGAAGAAGAAGAAGAAAAAGAAACAAAACAATGAACAAAGAGCGTAAAGCGAATAATTTGCAAAGTCACATTTAAAAAAAATGAGGCCAATTTCATAAAAAATGAAAATTGCAATATTCCGCACTCACACATACACATGAAAATAAAATGATAAATGAATGTATAAATTACAATAAATGCAGTCGTTTGGAAGAATGAGCGCGCACAGTGCAGTGATTAAAACAAATGTTTGGACGTACTTAACAGTGCCCGCAATGGCTGTAGCCGGTTTAAGACTGCGAAACGCTTTCAACCACTTTGTCTTCATGGATGAACTCGATGTGGATAATTTTCGTTCGGTACGTGGTGGTGATCCTAGATCGGCTTTTCCCAAAAACAACTCTTTCTGCAAGGAGAAGAAAAAACAAGAGCACAATTAAATTGCTGGTTTTCTCTTATTTATTTGCACGGATTAAATTTAAAATTAAATCTAAAATTTAATGAGATTATCTAAATGAAAATTGGATTTTGATTAAATGTATATGACCGAAATTGTTTGGATAAATTTTCATTTTTTCTTGTTGTTGTTTTTCTCGTTCTATTATCATTTCATTGATTCCAATTGAATGAATGAATTCAAACACAATTTTCCTATTTCCGTTTGCTCTCAACGACAATTAAATCACTGTGCATTGCATACAAATTCCTTACTGATTAAACAATATAAAACGGTATTTGAATATAAATTTGTTCCGCACAGCAGTGAAGTGTAGTGGGACAAAACTAGAGATGATATGGCTTACAACTTGAAGTTTGCCATCGAAACACGTCTATCATTGAACTAGTTTTAACGGATGATTGTTATTTCCATTCCCCAACAGAATCGCGACCGACAGGGGAGCACACCGAAACACGCTTCTCATCGATGAAGAGTTCAAGAAGCGACTACTTCTTTTCTATTTCATAAATGAACGGCTATGAGAAAATTGTTCCATCAGTGTGCACACTCTACACCTTCACTGTGTTTCTCTCTCCCCTTCTCTCTCGTTCTGTCTGCCTTCTCCATCGACAGACATCGCTTGGTGGCGTGTGCTAATGTGTGGTCGTATCGAATGTGGATCGAGTGTCTGTGTGCGAAATCAAACGAACAAAACGGACGAAGGATAAAAACTATTGGCCACGCTGTCCATGCGTTGGTGTAGGCTCAAGTTGACTCGTACATCCGTTAGCATTTCGTTTTCTTGTTTTTTTCCCTTTCGGAATAAAAATGATGGAAAAGGCTACCTGACACGTATGAAGAATACATTCAACTTGACCCCACACTACAATCAACATTAATATTTTGTTTATTCTCTTCGTCTTCTTCTTTCGCATTCAACCCCATTCACTTTCATTTGCAAAGTGGCAAAAGAAAATGTTCTCGAACAAATTTCTTATGTACGAATGTCCATTAGTTGTCGTTATTTTTTGCTTTCAAACACTCAATACACTCGTAAGCACTTAACAACAACGTGGTTGGTCATTTTCAGGAAAATTGCTTCGAATACGCGAAACCCCTTTTGCTCACGTCATACATACATGCATTTTCGCAATGGAAGCGAAAAGAAAATGCAGAAACTTTTAATCAGAATATAATTGAATTACACCAACGCCATCCCAAACATAGCAAATATGCTATAACGAATTGTGAGCAAACGAACGAATGCCACTTTTTGATCTCGAGCTATTGCTCCGAACGAACAACATTTCGTCCTTCGAGTGGATTGCATATTTTTCGTTTTATACAATGTACACTGCAATGGGCAGCAATGGAGAGAAGGGTAAAAAAACACGTCTTGAAATAAAACTCATCCACATGGAGGATATATGTTTGAAAAGCAGAAATGTTTTCTTTGTAAACAGTTTGTTTTATTTCTTGGCTAGAACGCGCATTTGTATGAATATTTTCGTTACTCAAATTTCACTCGGATAGTACAAACACACACACATACAAGCGCGCGCGATTTACTGTTGCAAAAGTGGTCATCAAACGAACATAGCTCAAGTACGTCAAGCAAATCCCACTCCAACGACAACGCCGTTTCATGTTGTCTGCCAGTCATTTCTCTGCTATTGTTGTCTCTTATTGTTGAACATCTCGAAAATTTCATCTTTGTTTATTAAACAGATGTCTGTCGAGTGTGTAGCTCACAAAGAGAAAACCATGATTGAACTTGTCCTGTGCGTCGGAAAGAAATTGAAATCTTGACGAAATTCAAATTTCGTCAAATTTGTAAATTGGATGGAAAAATGCTTCCATGTGTGAATCGAATGTTTTCTGTGTCTCTATCAGTTATCATCAGAAAAGGCAGTGATGCTGTCGTCAATTGAAACCATTGACATTCTGTCAAAATAAGTGGAATATTTTGAATGATCGGCGGTTGCGCACGCACACACGCAGAATTGTGCCACTAAACTCTTGCTCGAAACTTGATTATATGGCACGCGAATAATTTTCTGAAATAACAATAGACGCAATGCAATCAACTCAATTCACTGCTCAAACAGTCGAATATTGTTCGGCAAAAACTTCATTCATGCGGTTGCGATGGAATTTGAGGGTCTGAAGCGATTTCGATTTGTGTTTGGATTACGAAATGAAAAAAAATACAAATGGATCTATTAATTCACTGAATTATATTCCGAATGGAGTGGTGTGGGGTCAAATTGAGCTGAGAGACTGAGAGAGAGAGAGAGAGAGAGAGAGAGAGAGTTAGTTAGTTTGTATAGGTTTGACAGTGTGCCCCATAGCGCATATTATATATAATAAAAATGCCGTGCGTGAATTTCGGAATATGAATGAATTTATGGTAGAATCCAAAGAGATTTGAATGTTTCCATTCATGTTTTCATCAATGAATATGTGGTACAAATCGGTAATAAATTTAGCTTGCGTACGTACGAACGACCAACTGGAATGCCTAATCATACGAACAAAAACTAGAAAAAGAGAGAGAGAGTAGAAAAAATAACAGTTAGATATGATATCGAATACAATATATCTTTGTGGCTCGTTCTCTGTGTGACACATTATGGTTATTGTTTTGCGACAAAAATATTTTTGGCAATGCGCAAAATGTCCTATTGTTTATGCCCCATGTGAGAATTGTGTGTGTGTGTGTGTGTGTGGACTGTGTTTGGTTTGCCTATATTACAAACTGAAAATAAAATCGAATATTCTATGAATTTCATCTTAACATTCAGTCGACGATGACTACATACCACTACTACTGGGAGTATGCAAGTAAATATTGAAAATGAAACTTTTCCTTTCATTATTTTCGTGACTAAACATGAATAAAACATGACAATCATTAATGGCCTTTTCAAGGACCTATGCGGATTCAATTCTAGTGCTCACTGCTCACTGTCCTAGGTCTAGGTTGATTCCATTGAGGTGGAAAATGTCCCAAAACAAATAAAAGAAAATGAACGAGCCATAATTGTCTCCACCAATGATATGCCAATCGTATAGGACCAAATTACAAATGTCTGAACTGGAACCGAGAGAGAGAGAGAGAGAGAGGGGGGGGGAGAGCGGAAAAGAGTGACGCAAGATGTATTCAAAGCCACTTTCATGGCGTATACATAATTTAATTGACAATTATATGTTGGGCATGAAAATGTCCATTGCTCGTGGTCAGCATTTATTGCGTCAGAAAAAAAGTCCAAATTTATTGATTGACAATGAAAATTACATACCGCCATTAACAAAACCATGCACACACAAACACACACTCATTTTTTTCCGTATTGGAATGGAACGACAAAAACAGATGGCTGTGGATAAATAAATTGTGGTTCGACCATTGAAAATTTCGGAAATAGATCACGCGACCACCATTTGATTTAATTCAATTCAATTCGATTCAATTTCAATTCTCCAAATCAATTCCGGAGGCCCCGATTTAGATAAATTGAAAATAACAAAACGATTTGAAAAAAAAAAACAGATATTACATTGAAATACACACGAATTACGCCAAACGTCAACAAAGGAAACATGTGAATTTTACAACAACGAGGTGTGTGTGTATGTGTGTGTGTGTCTGTGTTTGTGTGACTGTTTGTGGCTTAGAATGTATACGTTGTGCAATAGCCGAATAGAAATGGAAATTAATTATGGATTAGTTTTTGGGGTAGGGAAAGTTTTCCACATCGATAACAATACGATACACACACTCATAGCGAGAGACACAGTTCGACGCGTCAAACAAAAAACATTTCCCATGCACGATGGTAGATAGAATGTAGTTTTGCTGGGTAAACTTAATGAAAATATCATAATTATTTCAAATCAAATTACATAGTCAATGGGTTTTCATTTTACAGTTCTTGTTGGCATACATACAATTTATAAGCAAGTGAAATCGAAAAGAAGCATTTATAATTGAGCAGCAATTTAAAATGGAATGATAGTGGTGGCGGTGGAGGTGGTGGTGGTGTTGTGCAACACAACATGCCAATTCTTCATTAGTCATAGATTTGGAGCGAGCATCAAAGAATCGACAAGAAACATTAAAAATGATGACCGCATTCACGAACAATCTTCAGCATGTGAGTGTGTGTGTATTTTCCGAAAAGTCCTATCTTTTGCCGAATCGGCACTTTTAACTTTTAATTGCTTTTGGCAAGTGGCGGTTTTCTCGCCACCCATTACATTTTAATTAAATAGACGTGTGGCTTTAGCTTTTGTACTTGAATATGCTCCAGATAAGACGTGTGTGTGTGTGTGTGAGTTGGTTGGTTTTATGATTCGCATGACGAGCCTAGCTTTCGAGTATAAATTTAAAGTTGGATCTATTTTTGGATTCAACGATGACACAAAACACATGCACATACACACCACGAGTGCGCTTGATACGTGGACAACGACGAAGCTCTTGGACCATTGTTAAATGCCGTGTTCCGACCAAAGCAGATTCTTCAAGCTTGCTGTGTATGTTCTTTATTTTTTTCCCTGCTAGATTTCGTATGCTTTGCACTTGAATGTAAATTGATTACATAATAATTTCAAAAATATAGGTTTGAATTCTATGCGTTACGATCGTTCTTCGTATGTTTTGTGTGTACATGTTGGCACATACTGTGTTGACTGTTGTTGCCTGACTTAGTTTTCCTCAGGAGATGATGGAATCGACGACAACCACAACCATAACTCACATACATAAAACTCATACTCTTGCATACACATGTATTCTCGCTTCAATCGATAAACATATTATTAAATCACGAAAATAGATTCCCCAAGCAAAATATATGGATGTTCACGCGATGTGCAATGCAAGTGGTGGTAGCCAGCGGCTACTTCGGAACGATTCTATTAAAATCCATCAAATGTACAATATAATCAGCCATTAATTATAC